ACACACACACACACACAGCCGTACAAACTTTTCTATGCATGGCTGCTGGCAAATGAAAGAACGCACTGAAATAATCTGATTATTGTAAAACAGGGCTACTGGTGATGATTTATGTAACACAACAAAAAAATTTTCACTGCCTGCTTCTCCTTGTCTCCTCTGTTCATCCACTAGCCAGCTATGTTGTAATGTACTTTGCTGTGTTACGGTCCTGTGTAGCTAGGTCTTATGTTCTTATTAATGCCCGATATTTTGAGCTGTGATGCATCCCATTCTAAGGTAGCATAGATGAGGTACAGACTTCAAACAAACATACAAACACACTTCCTCTTGTGGGTCACAGTTTAGGTGGTACAATAGAGCATCATAACCCTCATCTAGTCTTTTGCGACTCCTTGTCCCTGTAGGCAAGCGCTGTCATGTGCTGCTCTAGTGCCTCTTTCAATGCCTTAATTCATGTGTCACCACTGGGCCTGCGCATGGCACTCCCAAACACCATCACATGCAGATGAACGCAGAACACAGAGGCATGAGGTGGAATTTTAGCTCCCAGATAAAACTACTGAGCACCTCCTTGTCATTGTGTAACTTACAAATTTAATTTTAATTAAATACCTAATAGTATTATTTCTGCAATTATTGATCAGTATGGGGAATGTAAAAAAAAAAAATTAAAAATGCAATCACATATGCTAAAAAGCTTTGTTGTAAAAAATTCCTAGAAAAGTGACTCTGACCTAGTGGTGGCATTTGAAGGAGTAATTGAGCATCACCGTGAATTTTATATCAACTTGGCACTAAATAGTACTGTGGTAAAAAGTATATGCACGCAGAAAGTTTATCCTCATCCTGATATATTTATACTCACCTCTGACCCATATTACAACAAATGTATGTAGATAGAAGTGGAAAGATTCAAAAGTATTCTGCTTTGCAGAGTTACTTTTTCATGCATTAATTCTTATCCAAGCTGCAGATTTTCTCATTGTTGGTGTGCAGATTCTGAATTTTGTATTTCACCCTAGTTAGTTTTTACACATTTGTTTATCTAACCTGTTGACAGGTTTAATGATGAAAAGTGAACCTTTTAACTACTGGGATGCATGTGTTCTAGGCTTTCTCAACTATCTGTATACAGCCAAGCACACAGTATGACAACCTCTTCCCGTGTAAGGCGAGTGTAAGGCCATTAAAAGTTAGCATTTAAAACATTTTATATATCAACTTTGTTGTCTGAAAGCTCTAAAAGTGTCTAAAATTCAAACTTTCCTTTTCAAACTGAAACCTTCAAAACCATGTGTCTTTGATCTAATTGGTTTTGATCTGATAAATCCAAGGGCTGTCAAAGTTTTTCCAACACATAATGGTGTCTAATCTTTCACCTGAAGTTAAAATACAAAGATCAAATCTAAAAAAAAGTATGTTGTTCAACTGACTTGAACCAGGCTTCTCACTAATTTAGATTTTGTTCTGTTTATGCTCATTTTGTTCATTATGGTTTCAGTTTAGCGCTCCATCATCTGCATGAAAATAAAGGCATAAAATGAAGCACAGGGCTAACAATATCGTTATTACTGAACCAAAAGCAACATCTGTTTTACAGTACATTCACTGTGAGAGAACCATTAGACCATTACAAGTGAACCCAAAAGTTTAAAAAATGATTATGTCTCTGTTAGTAAGAATAGGGAGAATGCAAGTTTTTATAGCATCTTGACTACATACACACAGTGCACTCAGTATGGCTTTACAACACCAACATTCACAACAATAAGCTTAAAACGGCCCTCATAAGAAAATTCATGCTATGCAAAAAGAGTTGTTACAGGTTGTATCCAACTATTCTAAAATTCGTTTTTGAGGTCTTTGCAAACATTTCGAGCATGAATAACACGTTTGCAGCCTCAAAATGAAGTGAGATGTAAGTGTGGCTTACTGACAAAGTTTAAAAGATGTATGTGTTCTTACCTGTGTTTTTGTTGCTGGTGTGAACTGGTGCTTCACAATATATCTGAGTAAGGCAAAAAAAAGAAAAAAAAGAAGGCTCATAATAATCATTTACCAGGTTTATAGCTTGTGCTCTTAAGTTTAGTGATTACAATTTGATTTGTTTGTCATCTGAGCCAATGTTACATACAGATAAATGTACCTTTTCATCCCACATGCTGGTTCCTCCAATCACAGTAGCACATGGCCTTTGTATGTAATGATCTATTTGTCTAAATAATGTAACCGTGGTACTGTACGTTACTCTTTGGTTGGAAATGAAGCATGCTGTGTGCTCCTGTCTGTGAGGCATACTCACAGTCATTATGGTGCTGTCTGTCTTTCCCACACTGCTCTTTCTGTAGAGGTCACAGCCTGACTGACAGCTCCAAAAAGCATTCAAGTCTGTTACCTTTCATTTGGAAACATGGTTCTGTATTGGAACAATATCAAGCTGTCATGTTTGATGGGAGGTCTTTATGACTAGACTTGTTCAAGAGTCTCTGCTTTGGGCTCAGAGGCTCTGGTGGACATAGGCTTTGCTCTACAAATCTCTGTATCTTTCTTTGTGTCTATAGTCAACAGTCAAGTATATACAGTATACAAATATATATATATATATATGTATATATATATATATATTTTCTTTGTATGCATATATTCATTACTATTTTTGCACTGACCTACGGAGAGATGGATTTATTTTTTCCACAAAGGGTGCTATTATAATGGAGGCCTTCTCCCACACCTTTTGCATGACTTGTTCAAAATTCCTCAACTAGTCTGTCATCTCTCCTATTCTTCTCCTACTACTCCTTGAACTGTTGCAGTTAAAGCACTGTAATTTTGTAATCCCTACTTGTGAGCTTTGAAATAAACAGGGAGGGTTCAAGTTTGATTTGGTGTCCTGAAAGTTTATTCTCTTGCTGTTTGCTATCAGTTCTCAGTTTTTTTTATAGAAATTTGCAGAAAAAACATGTTCCTATTTTGTTTTACAGTTCTTCACTCTTTGCCAGATGTTTCATTGCATTATTTGTAGTTAAAGCTGATGTAATTAACATATTTACATTAACAAATGATAAAATGATTATATGTAATGTATAAGGGGTTTCTCTTTGAACCCACAGGAATCATTACCTGACTCTACAGTTCCCCTGAGCTCTACATTTCTTCAGGAATTATTAGAGACCATAAGAACCAGAATAAAAGACACCTTTAAGATGATGCAAGTGCAACAAGGAATCTGTTATATGTGTGCATAAGCAAGTGTGTATTCACAAGTTTACCATATCTATTCAAGAATTGAAGGTAAGGTGTCTAGTGTCCATTTTTTTTAAACCAATCACTAATTTAAGCCATACAGTGTCAGAAATGTGCAAACAAATTTTCTACAAATCATCTATTTATAGATTAATCAGTCCATCTCCACAAAAAACTGTTACATCTTTTCGACATTCCTGCAAAAATATGCTGATACGAGAAGAACAACTGCAGACTGAAGGATAAAGAAGGAAAGGAAGAAATCATGTGATGTAGGTCTCAAAATACAATTGTGATTATAGGCAGGACAGCCAACTGCTGTATACCAGGAAACAGCAGAAGCCCAGAAATTACTGTGCTTCATAGCACTAAAATAGACATTACAGTTTGTATTTTAAGAGAAAGTGACTGCCTCTGTCAGTCTCTTGACATTTGAGCATACAGAGTACACAGCCAGAGTTGTGAATTATCAGTGCCCCCCTCCATAGAACCATGTGTCACATAGCTTCAGGAGTTATGAGCCTATATTTACTCCAACTTCACAGGCGTCTACTGCCTCATGGCTACGGGGTCAAGATCTCTCCATAGGAACAAGTACAAAAATAGTTTTTAGCGTTGTTTCTAATTATGAGCGATGAGTGCCCCGCCTCATTAATCCTCTCCTATCAGCACTGGGCAGGCTGGCAGCACCAGAATAGCCCTTATGTTAGTGCTGCTGCACACCGCTCTGCTGTGAACTCTGAATGGACGTATTAGGCAAAGTAGGCCTGAGAGGAGGATCTACCTTTTCCACAAACACATTCAAACAGGTCTGCACACACGCGCACAAATGCACGCATCCACACATCCACACATCCACACACAACCAAGTGTGTTCATACTTCCCAGTCAGAGGAGGCAGTGAAGTAAAGCAGAGAGGATTTGTGAGCCTGAGGACGGCTGTACTGTTCACTTTGTCACTGGAAGATGTGTTCACTTCCCACCAAGGCTTAACAAAATGTCACTACAGCAGTACTTTGTGCTCACACCTAATAAATATCGCTGCTCATGTTTAGCAAATGTTATCACCAGCCATGCTAAAGGTACGACTTATTTGGATTTAGACTACTTAGATAATAACGTGAACACAAAAGTAGGAAACAATGCACAGATGCTTAACTGGGTATCTTTAGATGGCTTTGAAGATGTTGATTGTATGTTCAGTATGTTAAATACTTCTTTGTTTTGCAAATGTGTATCATTTTCGCAAGTCTAAGGATGAATGCTGGTCTGTATAGAATGCCAATTTTTTTTATCAATACAGATTCCCGAGTCTTTGTTTTTGTCATACAGTGCGTTAATTTTTTAGGTTTAAAGGTGCTGTTAGGTAGATTTTGTTACCTTTGAAAAGAGTCATCATACTAAGCCTAGCTAGCACCAACTCAATATTTATCATACAGACATGAAAGTGGTATCAGACTTCTTGAATAACCCGTCATGAGAAAGTAAATGAGCAGATTAAAAAAACAAAAACGAAAAAAACAAAACGATTCCTTTAAGGGCTTTTAATATTACATGTACTACAAGTAAGGATGTTTTTTTCTCTCTGTTAACTGTAGACCATGTAGACACCCGTGTCCATATACTTTTGGGGACTTTTGAACTGGGGCCATTCCTAATCATTAGAATCACCCCTTAGTCTCCATAAAGGAAACTCTAAATGCAACAGGCAGCATGTTGCTATTATATTGTCGAAAATGCTGTGCTTCAGTCTTATGGCAAAAAGGCCTTTTCCTCCTTCAACATGACCACATCTCCTTGCTTAAACCTACAGCCATTAAGAAATGTTTTTTTGGGTGTTGAGTAAACTTGACTTCAACTTTGAGATGGACACTGACTGGACAGGTGACAACATCACTGCCTGACCTCACTAATTTTCTTGTGTTTGAATATGAGCTGTCACAAATTTGGCATAAAAATTTTATTTTTGTGTGCCTTTTGGCCACACAGTATATGCACCTGCGATGTGTATTAGTCCAGATGCGCTGTCCCACTTACTGTATTGTGTTAGGAAAATAAAGGTGTTATTTTGTCGGACTCAAATGATATCAAAGAACAATGTGGACTCTGCACAGAGGAGAGATAACAAGGAGTCCACAAGTTTGTAGAATGAGTCTAGTGGTGTTCTGTTATTGCTTGTGGCACATGTTAGACTTTAAAGTATTATGTGTTGATTCATATTAGCCACACTCCGACCACCCCACCAGAAATGGGACAGTGCTCAGTGTGGTCGACACTTAGTCATGTGGCACACCGTCTCTGTGGCAATGTTTGGGTTTCATTTGGTGCCGTGATTCTGAAATCAGAAAATAACATCATATTTATTCATGTTTTCATTAATTGTACTGGCTCATATTTGTCCCATGATTCATTTGCAGTCTTGCTATAATGTATTCATTAACACTTATTATACCAGTGTCACAAAGCCAGCATGACAACAACGAAATTGCATCACATACATATTCAGACATTCTGATGCAAAAGAGGATTACTAAACAGACACAAGCATCAAGAAATATAACTGTCAGACTAATGACCTAATGACCTTCTGTCATGTCCCTCTTTTTCTTTCTTGGAATGTGGCCATCATGAATATTATTAATATCAAAATGTCTGCTGGGGAACAGTCCATTGTAGTAATTTAAAAGATGCTGGGAGAAAATGAAAAGAAAATGTACAATAAGCCATAAAAGTTTATTAATGGAAATAGTGGTTTAACAAAACAGTGCCACTGAACTAAAAAATGTGATGTTTCTGTGTTGTCACATTGCCTCTCAGGTCCATGTAACACAAAAGTGAACTCTGAAGCTGCTGAGTAAAACTTGATTTGGGATTGTTTCATCACAATTCTAATTGTAAAAGTAATTTCCTAAAGTCAAGGACTGTAGTAAGATTCATGTGTCATTAGCACAACCCACATGGCTGAAGTTCCTAAAGTTTTAAGGATTAAATCTTCCATGGATGAGGACTATACTGTAAGGCTATACGCCAAGAAATGAGTGAGTGAGTACACCTTGAGTTGGAACTGTCACCATAGTAGAATGAATTAGAATTAGTGGAGTGAATTTGTAAGGACAAGGGATTGTGAGGGGAAGTGTTTATGCAGTTCCTATAACAATTAAATTATACTGTCAGTATCTAAATGTTGTTTCAAAGCCCTCGAGCACTGTTAAGAATTCAAACTTTGTGGATTCATTCACCTACAGTGCTTCTTGCCTAAGGCAGCCAAATTTGAAAACAAATTCTATATGAAAAACACTGAAATCTGCAGTAAAATAAACAGCAAAGTACAGTTAAATCTTACATTTATTGAATGAAAACCTCAAATTCTTAACATTCTAAATTTCTGTACAAATATAAACAACATCATTTATGCTACAGAACATTGCAGCTGGAGCTCTACACAGCTGTGTCCTAGTTTGACGTCTTCTGCAATTTAGCCCTCAAGAGCGAGTTTTGTTGACTTTTGAAATACTGTTTCATTGCACTGATATTGCATTGATAATATTATCATTGCAGGAATAAAAGCAGAGCTTGCCCTATAATTCAAGCTCTACCAGTAAATATAGGTGATGTTTCACCTGAGCTGTCTTTTCTTTCTACACATCTACTACTTTCTCTTGTCTGCTCTAGGAAGTTATTTCATTTGAAATGAAAAATACTTTATTCATCCCAGAAGGGAAATTCAATAAATTTGCTTTTTGTTTTTTTTTGTTTTTTTCTTTTTTTTTTCTTTTTTCTTTTCAATTTGCTGCCCTTGTTTTGACATGTCTCCAAAAATGTCATAAACAAAGTGCAGTGGCTTAGGCTGGTCACACCACCAGCATTAGAGGGAATTGTTGAAGGTTTTTTAGTTGTGTCATGTCACCAAATTATAAATTGGACATGAACATTACATTTTCAAGTTAAAAAAAAAAAAAAAAGTCACACTCACTCAACCTGTATTACTGACTTATATGTATTCAACACAACACAAGAGGCCAGTTGTTTATAGTTTTAAAATACAGTAGATTGACACTTTTAATTTCACAGATCGTCTTTGCCTCCTTTTCCTGTAATACTGTTCTTGGTCTGAGCTAACTCAGTGGAGGTTTGAACCTTTACTGTCTGTCTGTAGACATCATGAATGCTGTCTGATCCTGCTCACTCCTCCGCATCATCAGAGAGAGACAGTAGGGCCCCTTCCTCCTCATCTTTCCATGTACTTATTGCCCTGGAAACCCCCTTGTCACAGTCTTCATGACATATTCTACCCACATATTGTATTGTGCAATGGGGGCCGGCAAGCTAAAACACTTATTTCGACCGCATGCTACTGGAATACTTACCTGCTAAGTGCTCACACAAGAAGTGAAAGCCACACATTGTTATAAAGTTTTGATATATGGTCAAGTCTCACATTTAGTGCAGTCTGCGATTGAAAGTGATTTCTACAGGAGGGGGCTTCAGCAGTTAAAGAGGGGTGCAACAAATGACAAATGTTGTTTTGCACTTTTAATAGAGTATTTATTTTATGCCAATTTAATAATTAAAACAACCTTTAAACTTTTTTTTTTCTTAGGCTGTGACCATATTAGCTGCTACAAAGATGATGGCAAATTAAATTTTGTTGTATTTTTTGTACAATGACAATCAAGCTTCTTCTTAAAGAATGAATATCTTGAGCATTTCAGCTTTGCATTCTAACATACAGACACAGTGAGGGAACTCTGACTGTTGTTTGACACCCGTGGTGTAAATTTTGAGGTTTTTACTTTTGGTGCTACAGATGCTTAACAGTTCACCACAACATTTCCAGATGGTCCTAGCTTATGTCTTTATACTAAACTAAACTTATGGTTTAAAGGCTCTTCTTCGATACTTAACAGACATGAGACAGATATCTTTTTTTTATTTTTTATTTTTAGCATGTAAGTAAAAATCCCAAAGTTCCTTATTTTAAGATTTAAACAAGCAATGAGGTGAATACATCTGTGTGACAAAAAGTAAAGAAAAGACAAAGTGATATAAGGGGTGATGGCCCTGTTTTCACTAGATTTTCAAATGTGCTTTCCATAAACAAACAGACCCCAAAAACATATGAAAGAGCTTTGAATTGGGGGCTTCCGCACGTTTGTTTCATTAATTAAAATTGACTTACATAAACGTCAACTTAGAGCACTATTTTACCCTTTAAAGCGTTATTTTTTAACACATCATTTAGTGTTAAAAGACACACAGCAGTACATCATTTTCCCAGGTGACAGTTAAATCTTTCATGCTCATGACCCTGTGAAAACTTGGTCCAGTGTTTAGAGAGCAGCTGAAGACAGTAAGTACAGCTGGGTAATAATAGAGTGTGACCTTTCAGTCAGGTATATATTGTGGTGCACACAAGCACATGCACACACTTAGAAACTCAAAACAACTCGTAGGAACTCAGCTGGTTCTGTTTGTAGATAGTGAGCTAAAGTGCAAAGCTGAACTTGCATTAGTATCCTTGACTTTCTCAGTCATGGAAGTTTCACATGCAGCAAGTGTAACCCAATAGGCCCATCAATTACCTCTGTTTCCTAGGTGCCTTCACAAACAACAGCTGCAGAGTTTAACAAACTAGCCATGCAATTTACTACCAGAGGCTAAAATATGAAGTCTGAAAACCAGCAGGTTGATGAAAGTAGGCTTCTGTTGTCATAGTTTTCTCTCTACCACTTCTTGCCATTTCTATATATGTATACCATGGCAGTCTTGGGTTTCCAGTAACTCCTATAACACATTTATTTATTTTTTTTAATGATGTAATCATTGAAACCCATATATCTTTGTCAGAAAAAACTATCATGCATTTTTGTTTTTTCACAGATTCACTACAGGTCTTAAAATATACTCTGCTGGGTCAAAAAATATACATACCACAATGCTTTATTTAGTGAAATGTCCTCAGCCATTTTCACCTCAACTAGACACTTTTGGTAACTGTCTACAAGCCTCTGGCAAGCTTCAGAATCAAAATTTCTTTATTGTCATCGTATGAAAAC